TGTATTAAATCCTTTGAGGTGGACTGATATTTTAAAGAAATTCCACAGCTCCAGCCATAGGAATAATGCATTTATACTGAAATGCAAATAGTCGCTACTGTGATGTGCAGCACTACCTCTGTTTCTCACCATTACACACACTTCCAAAAGCAGAACGGGGGGAGACTTGGATCGAAACACCAACCCTCTGTTTAGTGGACAGTCCGCACTACCCTCTGAGCCACATCCACTGATATGTGGTGGTCAGTCTCTCCACAGAAGCCACACTGCTGTTAAACTGTCCAACAAATGATATATTTATTAAGTACTCAACAGAAGGGCTTAATATTGTTCAGTTGTTCTATATAAAGATGGATGATGTGTCTCAACTCCATTCCACTAACCAGACATAAAGCCACAACATCTCAGGTATTAATTGGGGCATCTAGCCGCGATGTCGAGATCCCATAGATACACACGTTTGGTCAATCGTAAGTCAGTCTCAGCTGTCAATCACAATATTTCACCCAGTTTTTATAGCATCAAATAAAAAAAAACTTAAAAACACATCAGTGTGATGTTAACTACCTAAAAATAAAGGATCCATCTTTCAGAAAATAATATTTAATGTACTTTTACCTCTCAGTTTGGTCAATGTCCCATCCATTAACAAAGAGGAGGCTGGGTTAAAGACTTATACTGCAGCCAGCCACCAGGGGGTGATGGAGATGCTTTGAGCCATCATGTCCTTCATCCCTCCATCCTTTTATGTAGTCTATGGTGAAAACTCCTTCCCAGCAAGCAGGACCTCACTTTTCCAGCTCATTTGCCAACAGACAGTATTTAATTAAACTGATCAAAAAATGAAATAGTAACTTTCTCATCTGGAAAATATCAAAACCTATTGAAGTGACATGATGTGCTATCCAGTCTGTGGACAGCCCTGTGACTGCCTGACACTCACAGTCCAAACACATGCAGGTTCATTAGAGACTCTAAGTTGCCCGTAATAGTGAGTGTTTATTTGTCTCTGTGTCAGCACTGTGATGGACTGGTGACCGGTACAGGCAGAACCCAGCCTCTCACCGAATGTCTGCTGGGGCGGGCTCCTGCCCCCAGCAGATAATCAGTGCAGCTAACGAATGAGTTCATGAATGAATAACATGCTGTAAAATTCTGTGTACATTTCTGTTGTCGGCTATGTGGCACTGAATGACTGAAACACGCTGCAGTGGTCACTTCTCTGTGAGAGCGATGAGTTTATTTCAAGTTTTTCAAAAAAAAACCCATCAGACTCTAGTAATGATCCCAAAATAAGGATTTTTCTAAGTGTTTAAAAGATCAATCTGAGCAGACTGATATTTCTCTGAGCAGGCTCTCTCTGTAGCCTGGGCATGAACTAAATTACATCACAACAGTAAACCTTGTATGAGCACTGACATGACAATAGACAAACAGATATATGTAGTGTGTCATTATAATTCCAATGCTATGTTTGATTCTTTTCAAGGCCACTGGGCATCTGTTAACTACAAGACAAAAAGTCCCACTTGTGACCCCTGAAGGTGGGTCATGCACTTACACTTAAGGTCCAGTGTGTAAGATTTACGTGAAATGGATATTTTGGCAGAAACTGAATATAAAATAAACCCGGAGATGTTTTCACTAGTGTGTTTCATCTAAATTATACAAATTTGTACTATTTATATCTTAAATACTTTATATTTACAGGATGAGACCCTCTCTACGGAGGCCGCCATGTTTTTTTACATTAGTCCAGACTGGACAAACTAAACACCTTTTGAGTTTTTATGACAACTGAAGCTACCACAGTTTCTTTTTCATGTTTGGAAGGAGAGGGTGAGGTGAGGGGTGTTCAGCTGCAACATGCAACTTCACCACTAGATGTCAGTTAATCCTACACACTGAACCTTTAATAAAAACAAAGTGAGATGTGATTCAAGAGGAGATGAGATCCTTAGAACCTCAATAGCAGTATGTAAATATGCAAGTTTGGCCTGATGCCAGTGCTAGAAAACAAATCGGGTTTCAGGAAAAACACAAATCTTACTCTAGAGCAAATGTCATGGGAATGTGATGATCGTTAGCTGTTAGCTATCAGGTTATTTACATGCACACTGGTTTCTGATTATATTTTGGGTTTCACATTTATATTGGATACAAGTCACATCGTCAGTATAAACCATACATGTTCATGGTATGCTTAAAAACCAACTGATTCTTACAAAACAATTTATTTGAGTCCCAATCAAAGTTGAGGTAAAATTCCCATTCCGGTCTCTTCTAGAAATAATTCTTGGGGCTGCACTTAAACGCGATTTGTTTGTGAAACTGACATATCATTACTGCCAAGTATGAGTGAGCAGTTACTGTGAATTCAGATCGTTGACTGCAGCTTCATTCTGTCGGAGTCTGGCCTTCATTTGAGCGATCCTCTCCTCCCGTTCCAGCTCATCAAAGTCACACTCCCTCACCAGCGACTCTCTCCCTGTGCAGCTTTGGTTGCTGTTGTTTGTCACTCCACTACAGTCCATGTGCACATCACCGACCCTTTCACCTTTTTGACCCGTGGGCTCTGCTTCATCACTGGCCAGGTCCTGCATCTCACGGTCACCACTGTCCTGATTGGCCCCCACCTCGTGGTCCCCCTCAGGATGAAACCAGGCTTGCTCTGGGACTGCTGCTGCTTCCTCTGCTGCCTGCTGTCCTGCAGCATCCTTGTGACTGTGGCCATCCACTTGCTGCACACAGTCGGTGGACTGTCGGACAGAGTGAGCAGCCTTGGATGGGGACACATTCTTATTTTCACTGAGTGTTTGTTCACGTGTAGTGCGCATCTTCCTGGGCCTGTTGTCATTAAGCAGCTCCTGGAGGAAAAAATGAGGTAGTATCACATAAGACTTTTTGAAAATAATAAACAGATAAACCTGTCCACCGACTTACAACAAGTACATGCTAATTTTCATGATTTTGAACAACTTTTTTGAACAACTTGACTGGAGTTTAATTTATTTTACTGAATTCAATTCCAGTCTAGGTGTAGATACATCTGAAAGATGATAATGAGTAATTGGAGAAACTTTTCACAGCAACATGTCTGAATACTAATGTCAGACGACGATGCCGACGCCACTGTCTGCTGCACCACCCCTCATCTGTATCCTTGGGAGGATCTGTGGCTATTGTGAACGCATCTGAGCAGAGAACCCCCCCACTGCCTTGTGCATGAGTGAAAGGAAAACTGTGCAGAAAGTCTGACCCCGATTGTCCGAAGATCATTCGCAGGACATGTCTGAAAATGTCCTCTTGATTCACTTCCAAGGCTAAAGCTACGTCCACTCCACACAAGTTTAAGTTTTAAAAAAATTTCCCCCTACAGACTTTTGGAAACATTGACACAGACACTAACATTGTCTTTCTGATTGAGTGTTGCCAAGACTTACTGTAATTAACAATTGCGAGAAAATGAATGTTCATACTTTTCATCATTGTTATTCCTTCTTAGCAGTATTTATGCAACCAAGCGACCGACTGCAGAGTACATCATCTGCTTCCTGTTTACCCGCACATGCAGAGTGTATGTGAAATATCATGTCATGTGTTAGCTGGCATATATGGAAATGGTTTGGTTTTTGAAATGTATTTGTATGATCGTAAAGCTAGACATGTAAGATTGACTTGTCATGTTTTCCCATGCTGTGACTTCACCAACTGAAACGTCAAGTTACCTTCTTCTGGCTTTCAGATGACGATGAGTGAGTAGAGGGAGCCGGCCGCGGGTCACATGTGTCTTGTCGACTCTGGCTTGGATTGTGCTTACTGATGCACAGGTAAATGCATCCATGGTAGATGACAATAGCAGTGAAGCCGGTCTGTGGTGGTGAGCCCCGGGGACACAAGGAGGTGTGAGACTTGCATGTGGAAAGTGTTTTCCCCCAGGTCATTTCCTTCAGCATGTTGCAAATGGAACGGTTGTCAGAGACAATTTGCATTCTCAAAGGACCCACAGGAGGCCGGAACCTTCTGCCCAGCAGTGAGGACGTGTTTTCTAGTGAATCCTTCACTGCGTTGGATGCCAGTTTCTGCCCCTTCCTCCGTAAGACTGCTGGACTAATCCATATTGCCAGTTTCTTGGAGTCTTTGGAGTCATGCAGGGGGAGGCCCATTCTTTTGAGCAATGAGGCTGGTAAACTACACAGATGGATGGTGTTTACCTCAGTCTCCCTTGGGATGTAGATTTCCAGTCTGTTGAGGGAATCCATGCTCTGTGTATTTCCCTGTGTAAACACAAAACACTCTTACAGTTATTATAAAGCTGGAATCAGTCCCCCCGTCATTTCCTGCCTGCTAAATATTGAAGTTTAGAAATAGTGTTGGGCTTGCATCTGATAATGTATGCAGTGAAACACCATGAAATCGGGTTTAAAGTTTAAAAATCAATTCGTTTGAAATGACGCCACAATATCAACACTGATCATTAAATAATGAGCAATATTTTTCTTAAATTAGTCAAATCTTTCTTCATAGCTGCACGCACTTACATTCATATCTGTGATCACTATATCCACTTTTAGAGTTTCCCTATGTTATAGTAGACACTGAAATGATAGTTTATGCGTGGCAGGCTGCACTGCTCTGTCAGGGTTGAACAGGTATGCTTAACATAATGATGGCTGTCAGCCCAACCCTATATAGAAATGAAATTAAGGGATAGGACTAAACCTTCATTGCTCATACTATATAAACTGGCTCAATCTAACATTTCTATTCATAATTAGTGTCCAATATAACTAGATCAATCACTATTTTTAAATTCAGAGGTAGGTTCTAGTCGCCTTCTGATGATAACAAGCATTGACTCAGTGTGAGAATACAGCTTATTCCCTGCATGATATTAGATTCAAACTGAGTTTTTAATTATTTCTTATGATTAAGCTTACTTTAATGGCTTCTGTGGGAGAAACTGATTTTGGATTATGGGTGCTGCTGCACAAGAGCATAAATTGACTGAAAACATTAAATACATTAAATTATGGGAGAACATTTGCCTGAGATAAAACATCTGAGCAGTTTAGTTACAGAACATTCACACTTAGAAGACATTCCCCAGATTTCAAAGGTGTACTTGACATATCTCAATTCATAAAACACAGACAACAGCACATGACACCCTCCACAGGCTTACAGGGTATTAGTGGAGTCTGCAAATATTAAAGCACTCCCCTTACTGTTACGTCTGCTGTTCCCCTCCAGCTTCTTGTTTATAGGTTTAGATGAAAGTAGTACGAATTAATGATAATAACAGTATTGTTTACACAGAGGGAACTCTGTACCTCCTTCCAGAGTCCATGCATACTCAGAATACAACATAAGAGAGGGGACAGATCAAATCCCATTGGCCTAACAACTAGGCTTGTGGGCTCAAAAATGGCTTGTGCAGAGAGCGGAATGGTCATTCCAATAATTGTCCTTCTGTTTTAAGCAGACTGAGAATTTAAGCTCGTAGAGTTGACATCTGAGCTGATCAGCAGGTAGAGCCACAGAGGACACAGCAGTCGGGCCCCAGGTGATCTGAGGCTAGTGGAGGTATCTCCAAATTGTAGAAACCTTCTCCAGCGACTGACACCGACAGAATCCCAGCAGACGTGGGAGACGTGAGTGAACACGATGTAAATAAAGCTCCAGTTTCCTTCTGGTGATTCTGTCCACTCTGAACCTGCCTGTCAATCATCCGGCAGTCAGTTAAGCAGACACGCCCCCCAATCTATGGATTTTTAAGCTCTAATATCTAATTAATTACGATATTATTTTCAGATGGACCACCAGATCCCTGATGAGAAGGAAAGTATCTAGTGAATGAGACCATAATCACCAGCGGGAACAGGATTTTATGGGAGAAGTTGGCATTTGTTTGAATGGCAGTCTCCCCTGCTGGATCTCCGAGGTATTACACTTTAAAGCACTTCCGCATAGGCTTCTTCCTCTGGAATCGAAACCTACGTCCATTTTTATACAGTCTGTTGTCTTCACTTTGAGTAACACTGAATTAAAGACTAAAGTGGAAGATGTTTAGTCCGCGTGTCTGGAGGTGACGCCTCAGTGAATGACTGAGAACGGGTTCGAACCCTGCGGAAGCGCCGCAGACCTCACCGTGCATGTCTCTGTGCTGATGGTGAACACAGGAGCTCAGAGCCACTGAGGTAGATCAGCAGTAAGATGTAAATACACATGCGACCCGGTCCTTTACAGCGACACGTCTCAGTGGCGCAGCTGAACAGGATCCTAACGGGATCACTGGGACTAGTTTAAACACGTCCGCTGGAAATAAAGCGCAGGCTTTGGAGGAGGAATATGTCTCTGTCCTGAACGAGGCAGCCGTTTCACCACAGCTCACCTCCGAGCTTATGGCGTTTAAATGATGATCACAGAAATGTTGCTCTTACCTTCTTCTTGATCCTCTGCTTCTTCTTCTTCTTCGATGGCAGGGTTGCAAACAACTTACAAGCGAAATGCCGCCACCCTCTGGAAAGTGTGGATCAGAGGAGTCGATAACTGGATTCAGTTCTTTACAAGTGCATCACCACTGTCCACTGGACTGGAGTGTGGATGAAGAGAGAGAACAGATTCATATCGAAACCAAATTTAAAGTCTGTGTTGTTCTTTCCTTAGTGACTAAATAGGTGACTCATCATAAGAGTGTGTTGTGTGCTCCACAAGTTCTGGCAGGTGCTTACCTGTTTCATGTTGAATCCTGTCCCGTCTTTTCTCCCGTGCTTCCTTTTGTTTACACCACTCCAACTGACAAACGTTTTTTCTGCGTTGTTGTCTTTTCACCACCTACTAGATCAGAGCTTGAACAGTTAACTGGTTGGATAACATATCCCTGTGACTCCAGTAGATAATAAGAATACCAGCAGATTCTCCACAGTATAGTCCTTTCAACCCTTTTCTCATCCTATCTGTTGCGATCTCTCAGCTGGTTTATCACAGGACGTTCAGAATCCAGTGGGTGTAAACCTGTATGTCCTGTTCTCAGCCAGGTAATAACCAAATCTTTCTGATTGCTTCCGCCCCATGGTCTACCAACGCCCTGACGGTTAAAATAGCGGTAGGGAGTTTACACCCAATATTTCTGCCAAGTTTTACTCATATGATCCTTTATGATGGTTTCAACCTGTGCTTTACTTACAGTAATCATTTTTAAGCTGATGTGCCTTCTCATTTTTTTCTTTTTAGCTCTTATTTAAAGTTAACTGACCAAATTTTACAGTTGCTTTTAAAGATTTTAAAATCCATCAGGCATTTGTGAATGGATAAATGTCCACTGTCACCATTTCAAACACAGGCATCCCTCAGGGCTGTTCACTCTCCTTCCTGCTTTTTATTATGTGTACTGAAGAAGGGAGCTACAGTATCTTGTCAAGTTCTCTGATGCCTCCCTCTTCAACAGGGCCAAACATCTGACCATGGCTGTGCCTTATCCACCTTAGTCAAATGGTGAGATCACTGTAGATTTCAGGAAGTGCAGCGTCGAACCTAAAGCCAGCATCATCAGAAACCAGAAAAGATTTTTATTGCCAAGTAAGTTTTTTACACATACATGGAATTTGTTTTGGTGTTGTTGGTGCATGTCAGACATCTCTAAATATAAGATAAGAAAATCAAGTATTGAAAATGTAACAATATAAATTTAATTTTAAAAACATATACAGAGTATAAACATGTTTTAATGGTAAAAAAAAAAATAAGAAGAGCAGTACAGCTGAGTAGTACAATGTGCAAGTGTTCACAGTATGCAGAGTATTTCCAATATAAGTATATAGCTGAGCGTTAATGTAACGCATAGAGTTGTGATGCAGTGTCAATGTGACATATGGAGGCAGAGGTGGAGTGTGAAAGAGTGTCAGGGTGGGTTCCGGGCCTCGTTGATAAGGCTAATAGCGGATGGGAAAAAAACTGTTCTTGTGGCATGATGTTTTGGTCCTGATGGACCGCAGCCTTCTGCCAGAGGGGAGTGTCTCAAAGAGTTAGTGATCGGGGTGGGAGGGATCAGCCACCATCTTTCCTGCACACTTCAGAGTCCTGGAGGTGTACAGGTCCTGGAGCGAYGGTAGATTGCAGCCAATCACCTTCTCTGCCGACCGAATGACACGCTGCAGTCTGCTCTTGTCCTTGGCAGTGGCAGCAGCGAACCAGATGGTGATGGAGGATGTGATGATGGCCTCAATGATGGCTGTGTAGAAGTGCACCATCATTGTTTTTGGAAGGTTGAATTTCGTCCGCGAACTTCAGAAGCTTGACAGACTGGTGGCTGGAGGTGCAGCTGTTAGCTTACAGGGAGAAGAGCAGAGGAGAAAGAACACAGCCCTGGGGGGGATCCGGTGCTGATGGTCCGGGAGTCGGACACATGTTTCCCCAGCTTCACGCGCTGCTTCCTGTCAGACAGGAAGTCAGTGATCCACCTGCAGGTCAGGTACACTCAGCTGGGAGAGTTTCTCCTGGAGCAGAGCTGGGATGATGGTGTTGAAAGCAGAGCTGAAGTCCACAAACAGGATCCTGGCCTAGGTTCCTGCGGAGTCCAGGTGCTGGTGGATGTAGTGGAGGGCCAAGTTGACTGCATCGTCTACTGACCTGTTGGTTCTGTAGGCAAACTGCAGGGGGTCCAGGAGGGGGTCGGTGATGTCTTTAAGGTGTGAAAGCACAAGGTGCTCAAAGGACTTCATAACCACAGAGGTCAGGGCGACGGGTCTGAAGTCGTTAAGGCCTGTGGTCCTTGGCCTCTTGGGAACAGGAATGACTGTTGAGGTCTTGAAGCAGGCTGGCACATGACATGTCCCCCAGTGAGGTGTTCAAAATACCAAAATTCCAGGCAGACGCAGAGTTGTTGGCTGAGAACTGGTGTTGGAGCTTCTCAGAGTACAGTCGTTTAGCCTCTTTCACCACCTTGCTGAACTTGTACTTCGCCTCTTTGAATCTGTCTTTGTCCCCACTCCTGAAGGCCTCTTCCTTATCCAACCTTAACCTTCTGAGTATGGCTGTGAACCAAGGTTTGTCATTGTTGTAACTCACCCTGGTGCATGATGGAACACAGCAGTCCTCACAGAAGCTGATGTATGACGTCACAGCCTCTGTGTACTCATCCAGACTGTTGGTAGCAGTCCTGAACACATCCCAGTCAGTAGAGTCCAAACACGCCTGGAGATCCTCCACAGCCTCACTGGTCCACTTCCTTGATGTCCTCACTACAGGTTTGCAGAGCTTTAGTTTCTGTCTGTATGCAGGAATCAGGTGGACAATGACGTGGTCAGAGTGTCCCAGTGCAGCACGGGGGGCGGCGTGATAAGCATCCCTGACTGTGGTGTAACAGTGATACTGATAGAGTGATAGTCAAACACGGCGAAGAGGTGAAAACCGTGTAGAGACATATAAGTAGCTACCTTGGAAATGTGTTTACCCCACAATTTACTCATTACATTGTGGAGCAGGGAAGCGAAACTCTTTTGGTCTTTCACAATTAGTAATGGGAAGTATGTGGAAGAGAAAAAAATGACTAAAGGTTCAGTGTGTAATATTTAGTGGTGAATTTGCATGTTGCAGCTGAATACCCCTCACCTTACCCTCCCCTTCCAAACATGAAAAAAATCTTTGGTAGCCTTCAATTTTTATGAAAACTCCAAAGGTGTTCAGTTGGTCCAGTCCGGGCTACTGTAAAAAACATGGCTGCCTCCGTAGAGGGACCTCGATCCTGAAGTAAATATAAATTATTTAAATAAAAAGGGGCAATTCTAGGGTAAAGAAACAACAATTTGTATAATTTAGATGAAACACACGAGTGAAAACATTGCTAGGTTTAATTTATATTCATATTCATATATTCTATACTCGAGAGACTATATTCTCTGTCATGCCCCCAGGCTGGCACTATTATTTCCCACCTAGTAAAACTAATTGTTTCTTTAATTCCTTAATTCTTTCTGCTGTCAGGCTAGTAAATGGTAAACGTGGTTGATTTGTGTGCTGGCCATTGGCATGTCAATGTGTGATTGTGGCTACAAATGGGATTACTACCCAATTTCTGTCATCCTCTTCATGAGTAGGAACCCAAAGGAGGAGACATCCAATCCTCTCTTCTGTAGTCTACATAACACATGAGCCATTTCTTCAAGTCTCCAGAACAATTGACTTTCTTTGACCCATTGTTATTGTTGCAGTAGTATGAGTAGATCAGCTGCTTTCTCACAGTGGGGCGTCAGCGCCTGTGGGCCCAGAATCCAGTTCTGCTACATCTGTAAATATGAACATCTCATGCCAGAATTTTGTATTATGGTCCACTTTGGTGCCACCGTCGGTTTCTCTGTAAACATTTGCTGCAGTCCTGTGTCTGTGGACGTCATAATGACTTAACAAAGAGCTTTTCCTGAGGATGAGACACTGGGGTTGAATTTAACATTGCATGGGTCAACATTGATAAAGACCATGACTTGTGTTTTGTTGCAGTTTCACTTCATCAAACAGCCAAACCACCAAACAGCCACACTGTAAACTGCTTTATTTTATGGTCCCTCTACTTAATCTTGAATTTTAATTACACATTACCTGTTTTATATCTTTGCTTCTTAGATGTTTTACCATTCTTCTTACCTTTACTTTATATGCTTTCTGTGAAGTACATAAATGACATCTGTGTATGATAATGTTTACAATGATAAACTTTATTTATAAAGCACCTTTCAAAACGCCAAGTGAACCACATCACTATCCTGAGAATGTGTTGTTAAGAAGTTTGCCTGTCAAACATGAACAACACAGCAGGAGATTCTCCACTCAGTCGTGTTCACGACAGGATGAAGGATGCAACGCAGAAACTGTGTTGCAGAGATCACGTTTTTGTTTGCAGCACATTAACACCGGTGTTGAATCTTATAACCAAAAACTCTCTGGTCTCTGTCTTCTACATGTATGACTCCTCTTTTTAATCCTGATATAATTGTTTTCTTTTTTCACTTTTTTTTCTGTGGAAGATCTCCTGCTGTGTTCTCACATCATCTCCTCTGGACTTTTCTGCAGACTTCATACAGGAGCAGAAAGTTCCACTATAACAAGTGAGAAAGCAACTCCAGCCAAGACTTGTACATTGTCATATATATTGTCATTTCTTCTGTCTGCAGCACCACGTCTCTTTTCATCCTGTGATGTATTTGCATAGGTGGCCTCATAAAATCTCAATTCTTCTGAAAGTATTTCTGAACCTGACATTACATTTCATAGCAAATTGTTACTTAGACAAATTTTAATATATAAAATGTGAATCTGTTCACACATTTTTAGCAATTCATTGACATTACTTTCCATTAATATTTTAGCATGGCTAAGGTCTTCCTCTCTCCTAAGCCACATCCTATATTTTTCAGTCAAAACATCACAAATAATACAAACTGCACTTGTCTGCCATTTATGCAGATAAGCATCCTGATAGAGTTTGCTTACTTCACTCGCTCCCAGGACATTTCCGCTGCCAACTAGCAGTGTACATATGTACTTTGTACTATGCACTAACAGCGGTGATATGAAGTACTTGTTTTACTTATTTTGGGGATTTTAAGAACATATTTCAAACAAAATAGGCAAAAACGGATTCTAAACTCCCACTTCAGGTATTTAAGTGCTTCTAACCCTAACCCTTGTTGAAAAAGCCGGCACATGGTTCAGAGTTGAAAATATTTTGTTGTACAAATGAACACACAATGTTTTTGTGACACATGGTTTGTCCTCTCAGAGCCTGTGATGGAGGTAGGAGTCATTGTGGTTTGGATAAAAGGAGGCTTTTGTTTCAGGTTTGTGCCACTGAAACATTCATCATGTTCTTTTGATACAACCTGAAAGGCAAAAGACAGTGGCCTCATGATGTATTTTTTCACTTGTTTTAGCACTTGATGATACTGCTGCCATTTTTCATGTAGTCTTGCGGAATAATATCACATCTCCTGCTGCTTCTGTTACATTTCAGATGATTTGTGTGCATTTTGATATAGATCACTGAATGAACTTGAATGCAATAAAACACTAAAATGCGGCAGAAGTTTCTAATCAAACAATTGCCAATAAAAACTCAAGACCCTGACTGGATAGTGAGTGTGGAATAACTCTTAGTAACTGGCTACTATGAACCAGATGTGTGTTAGCAAATAGAAATCAATGTATTGGGGCTACTGCACAACTACAGCTGTTTTCAGACATGACCTCTGGAGGATTGGGTCCAAACTTTCTCAGGGGTTTGCGTTTGACACATACACAACACAGCAGGAGGTTCTCCACTCAGACATGTTTACAACACAGAAGGGGTGGTACGGCAGGCAGAAACAAGATGTGATGCATAAATTGTGCTGCAGGGTTCATGTGTTTTTTGTGTACCACACATCAACCCTCATCACCAAAAGCTGTATGGCACAGCTTTTTTATCTCGAGATATACATATCTATATAATATCTATATATATATATCTTTGCATCTGTGAGGTCAACACATCCACTCACTCATGCCTAATCTTGTGAAGGATCTCCTGCTGTGTTCTCACATCGGCACCATCAGACATTCTGCACTTTTTACACGGGGTTGGAGGGGAAAGTCGCCAGAAACTCTGGAGGCTCTCACTCAGACATTTGCTTTCACATATACACTCCAGAGTTCGGTGTATGTCTGAAGGCAGCTTAGGTGAGCTAGTGGTCGCCCTGCAAATACTAGCTTGAATACTCCTGCAGTACTACTGATCGCAGGTTGATGCCGACCCGACCCTCTGTTGCGTGTCTTCCCCAGTGTCTGTCAAACAAAAGGCCTTTGTATTCTGACTTATGGTCCTTGTGCTAGTTCAAAAAGAAATAAAACAATTAATATTCTAAAAAAGTTTTTAACCTACATGTTAGGATATTTGTTAGAATATTAGTGTGGAAGGTTAGAGACTTTCAGCTCATGCTTTGTTCCATCAGTTCTAAAGCTGCCTCCCTCTCTTTCAGAAGCTCTTTGAGTCTTTGGATCTGTCTGTCTCTCTTAAGTTCATCTGTGTCCGTGGATGTTGAGGACAAACGGTCCCTGGCTGGAACCGCATGAGTCTTAGATTTCTGATTATTTCGGACTGTTAGACAGCCGTTTCCAGATGTTGTCACACCTTTTCTAGCAGCTTTTGTTCGTGTCCCTTTTTTACTGATATGCTCTGTCCTGCATGCCCACTTCTCCAGCTCCTCTGACCTTGCACTGGATTTCACTGCAGGCTCCAGAGTACCAGGGACGCAACATGGACACATGGTTCGTTTCCTCGTCCTTCCTATTCTGCTGGTGTTCAGGTCCACACAAGTCTGAGTCTGTTGCAGGGCTGCTACATCCTGCGACTCTGCGATTTCATTTGCATTGAAGAAGTCCTCATCTATTGGTTCCACATAACCAATCAATGTTGTGTTTTCAACACCACATGACACCCCCTTGGGTGAACAGTGGCCCAATTCAGAGTGAGGTTTTGTGTTCAGCTTGAAAACGGCACATTGAAGAGACATGACATCTGTGTGAGCAGTGGCAGCATCTGCTGGCTGTACCTGTTCAGTTACTACTTCCACTCTTTTCAAATCATTGTTCTGGAATTTGCAGGACCTGTAGAAGTCCTGCAGAAAGAGTTCCTTCTCTATCAACCTATTCGCTGGTTCATGCCGATCCTCTGCTGAGATTATAAACTCACTACTCCGAGCTGCCAGTCCAGCAGAGGCCTCGTCGATCCTCTGCAGGCAAATCTTCACATCAGCTGTAATCCCAAACATCTGGCTCAGCTGACGGTCAGCCATTTTACAGGGCGGAGGTGCCGGTGAAGATGTCTGACAAACTGTAGGCTGTGGAGGGGTCTGCAAATATAAAAACAGAAAATACAGACAATACTTAAAAATGCAGTGATACACATCTCTTCAAGGAGGAGTTTAAACAACAAGTTAAAGATGAACTCAACTCATGTATGTCTAGAATTTAAGGTTATTTTCATGTTTGACTGATCTGCAGATTTAAAAAAAAAAGCTTTTATAAAGACTTATAAAATGTTTTGTTTGCAATGGTACAGTTTTATGCTGAAGTGTCCTTCTCCTCAAGAATTTCTTAACTTTTTTAATTGAAAACACAATTCAACCATCACAGCAAACAGATATTCAAACTCGTCTTTCTGAAAAAGGTTATGGATGAATTCAAATTTGTTTAAAGGTGGTCATCCTCTGATCCTCCGTCGATCCTTCCGACAAACAGGAACTTCAGTGTGGAGTGTGTCTCAATTCAGAGGTTGCATCCTTCGTAGGACAAGGTCAACAAGACAAACAAAGCCTGTCTCCTTGTGGGCTGCATAGATCCCAATGGCCAAACCGAAATGAGACTGTCTGGTCTACAGAGGCTTTCCATGATTGGCATCCACACTTATTGCTGTTGCCTAATACAGAGCTTAAGTTTGACGTGATGAGAACGTTTTAATGCCCCTTAGCATTTTTTTAACAAGTGTTATTAGCTGTTTGGTTGATCAAGGCTGATACTCAAGCATTGGGACATCTTGTCGTTTGCCCAATACATCTAAATGGTTTGTCAATGAAGTGCAATGAGTACTGGGATAAGTTGGGCTGGGAAGGATCGACCTATCGGAGCGTTCGTTCCTCAGGGATGAAAGGACGCATTTGTCAGCCGCATTTGAGCGTCGCTGTGACTTTAAATGCAGCTTCCAAAGGATGCAACCCCTGAACTGAGACACAGCTGTGGTGAGAAAAGCTGAACAGAGGGAGATGGTGTGGAACCCAGAGTTTCTCCTGTTGATTACACAGTTGAATGCAAGCTAAGTTGGTACCATCTTGTGTTATGCATTACAATGATTTTGATATAACTGCCTACATCCGCTCTACAGCAATAGTTCAGTTTAATACATGTATTGCCTGGTTGTAGGCTCTCCACTGTTATTCTCTGCTTCATGTCATTTTTTGGTTTTAGACTGATATCTGAATATATCAGCCTGAAATCTGTGAAACTGGAATTTACAGTTTTCTCTATTTTATGAATTTAACTATCAAGTTAAGCCATAAAGCCCTGCTTTGAAACATTTCTGTCAAAATCACTGGAGTTTTCCCACATCAATGGCACAATACAAGTGGCTTCACCTTCTCCTGTTTGTGAAAGCATGCTGCACTGCTGCCATCTGCTGGACTTTCTGGATCAACATCAACTCCCATGCTAACCTGTTGGGTGGAGGTGCTCTGCTTACTGTCCACGTTTGAGCCCTCATCATCATGCACATTTGTCCCGGCAGAAGCACAAACATGTCTGACAATTTCATCTGTGCCGGATCTTCCTTCCGTAAGAGTGGCGCCCACATCCCTTCCGTCAGCGTCAGCTCTACCACCCGAGCTCTTCTCCTGTGTCAAACTGTCCAAGCTGCCCGTGCTCAGCGGGTCTCTGTCCTTTTCTAGTATTGTTTGTGTTTTTATTGTTAAATCACATGTGGACTCAGCCTTAGATTTGGGTGGCATGTATGACACAAATATTACGTTGTCATCATCCGGATGAGAGGCCGCTGACGTGCTAACTGATGCTGCTTGTTGTGAGTCGTCCTGAGTATCGTCATCACAGAGATCGATAACTTCATCTGACTCATCTGAAATAATAATGCTGATGTCCTGCTGTGTTTGAGCTAATGAAGGTTTTGTGGTTTCTTTTATTTCAGAACTTTTTGTTGCTGCTGTGGGCGAGTCGTTTTCTCCTTGTTTAAAAAGTAGGCTGCATTTTTTGGCCACAAAAAACACCTTCCCGTTGCACATGATTAAGGCATTATCCTGCTCTGGTGCGCTTTCGTCCAGGTTAGACTCAGAAACATCCGAGTGCTTGCCAGTTTTTTCTCTCTGTGCCACTGTTCGAAGAATGTGTGAATTAACAGAATGAGGGTTAAGAGGATGCACACGTGGAGCCGTCGGGGTGTCCTCTTCTTCAATCACCCACCTTGTAGGGCCGTTAGACGCTTGTGAAGCTTTTGGAATTAATTTTAAAAGTGGCTTCGATGTTTTAGCTGTGGCTTCTGTCTGAGAAGGCAGCCTGGGTGAGTGAGGTCCAGAATCACACGGTGGAGCAGCACACTGACTCACGGTGGTGACAGGTGACACAAAGACTACACTGGGCACGCCTGAACCTGGAGTGGAACTGGCTGATGAATTAAAAATCTGCTTCTTGATATCTGGAGGAAGTTCAGATGCTGGCAATGTTCGCACATGTGCATTAGGGGGAATCTGAAGGAACTGTCCTCTGGGGAGTGCTGGAGATTTCAACATCACTGGGACCTGACATGGAAGTCTTACCGACGTCACACAGTTTGCTGCAGGCGTTGGGGTCGTCGGCACTTTGGACATTAAACTTTCAGTCTGCTGCTGTTGTGGATGCTTGTTTAGTGAATCACCAGGATCCAATCCTCCTCGCTTAGGCAAGACATTTACAAAGGAACCGTTCTGTGTGACAATCTTTTTCATCAGAGCTGGTGGTGAGGAAATATTTACAGCTTTCTGTTTGCTAGAATCCAAACTGGGTTTACTTGGATCATATTGGACAGACTGTCCATTGACCAGCTGTACAGGAATCAGTTTCATGATTTTCTTTCCATCGGCTCCAACAGCAGGTATCGCCTGGTAGAAGACACCAGTCCCACTGAGAGGAAAAACAACAGAGCACACAAACATATTCATAAAAGGTTGCAAAGACTAGAAGGGAAATACATGTTTTCTCATTTGAAGCAGTGAACTGTTGTTTATGTGCTGAATTCTCAAACAGTGCACAGTTAGCTCTTCTCACTGTAGATCAGTTTTGAGAAATGTGACTCCTCATTTGAGAGTGAGATGTGCAGGTTAAACGGACAGACAGAAGACGTTTTTTGTCTGGAAACAAAAGGAACTTTAGAAGTGCAAATAATGGAATCAATAAAACGGAGTTCCACTTAGCTGCTTCAAGTTCAGAGTCCCGGTGTTGTCATACAGAGCTGGAATCTGAACATGGTTAGTGAAGCTTAGCACAAATACTAAGAGCAGAGGGAAGCGGCTAGCCTGCTAAGGTTAACAGTGGCTTGACTGCAAATAGAATCATTTTAAAAATGCATCTTATCTTGTCAATTCTAATGACTAGCATCGTGGTTTATTGTGACCATTAGTAACATACTCGTTAACATGTATTGTAATAGGGCATTGGTACTGATGTTACTGTAGTTACCAAGGATACGTCCTGGGCTGCTGGGTCACTGTGTAGCAGTATGGTTATATATTAGAATTGGTAGTATTCTCTCTCTGCACTGTAACTGCTCTCACTGTGAAGCTGCATATCTTAATGAAGGAGAGAATGGTCAATAAACAGTTTTCAGATAAGCCTGTTATCACCAATCATGGTCAGGATAGCCATGTGTTTAGGGTTTCATACTCCATGCTGGGATGTAGACTCCGAATGTGGATGAAAAAGCAACAAGCTAATCTACATGTGATGTTGATGACATGTTGCAGACCTGGAGTTGAGTGATCTGGAATAAACGTGCGGGTACAATAGTGAAATATTTGGAATCTAAAGGAAAGATCATCAGAACTGTACCTCTGAACTGCATCCCTGTGTTTACTGATAGGATACATGACTCGGGAAAATCCGGGAAACTGGACTGGTGATGATCCCAAAGAGGCGAAGTGAGCAGCTTCAATCAGACAGCAGTGATTCTCACAGTGGATGGTCGCGCTGAGAGTGGACACGTGGTAACGTCAACGCTAACTTGTCATTTCCTCGTCGTCTGCGCCCTCACGACAGGAGATGGAGTCGCGTGTATCGTCCCTGTGTCCATTTCCTTCGATCAAATATTCCCACTTCACACTTTGGCTTCGGGCGATGGCACCTCTCGGCTTCCGTTGCTGTTTTCGCGTTTGTCACGTCCGACTTCCTGTTTGTGACGTGAGCTGTGTTCAACGTCGCTAACATTTGCAGGTTACACATAAAGGTTCAGTTCACCCATCAGTGTTGCTCGTGTCAACCACATGCTCTTTGTTCAGCCTCAGACGGTTCGCATGTCTGTCAGCGTCCATCTCAATGTCATGACGCTGTATGATAATAATAATAATGGTGATCGCGTTACCAAACCCTGGAGCCTCGGAACTGAACACTTCCGGTCTGCTAACATCCGCTCAAACATTCCGCTTCCGCTCTGAAATGTATCCCGGGCTTTTGTCGAAATGTCAAAAAAAAACCTCCTCTACCAAAAATGTTCCATGTACTCCAATGGAAACCGTCCCGAGGTACAGGAAGTATGAGTGGGATAAATCACGAGGGCTGAGGTCCAACACTGTTTATAGTCTGGGTCCATGACTGAGGGAAACGACCCGGAAGTACGCAGGAAGCTGCCATAATAGGAGCTGAGAAAGGGAACTTTAATGTCTCCTATCTCATCTCCTTTAGCGTATCTGTCTATATCTACAGAGAGAGATAGAAAAGTACATCACTCCTGATCATACTGTAGGAGTGACATCATCATGTAGTCACTGAAATGACATCATTTAATGCAGTTTTACATTAACTTTACAACCAATAAGATTAGAGTTAGAATCTACAGCTTGTGTAGATTAACCAATCATTAGTCGTAATGACATCGTGATGATCGTGATCCAAAATATCCTCTTTAGTATCTCACAGGGGGAAAATAAGATAGATAGGTAGGCACAAAGTGAGAGAAAACATAAGTCAGTCAAGAAAGGAATCTTATACTAAGCTTACCACACATTTCCTCTAGGTGCCACAAGATGTATGCAAGATAAAAACTTATTTCTGTTGGTAGTGCTGTAATATCACATATATATATATATATCACAACTGGACACTGTACTGACCCTTAACAATACACATGAAACCAATAAAAGGTTCTCGATTTATTCCTGGAATTAGCAGATGGATGTGGGTTCACATGCACACCTGTATATGTTTGTTCAAGTATGCATGTGTGGTTTTATGCATGTCTTTCATTATTTACACCTCTTGTAATAATGTTGAATGTTTTGAGTTGACCTTTAAATCACAAAATCAGCATTTTCATCTAAACTTGGAAAAAACTGAAATTATTTTGTCTCCTGTAAAATTGACAACTGCAATGGACTTTGAAGAGCACTACAGGAAAACTGGTCAGAAATTCAGCTGCAAGAGTTTTAACCCGATCTAAATCTAAAGACTGCCCAAACCACACGCTTTTAAATCTCGGCACCGTCTGCCAGTAAGCCACAGAACTGATTTTAAAGTTTTACTGCTCATTTTTAAATCTCTCTCTCAATCTCTCCCTGCAAGATGACCCCTGAGATCACTGTGGAGTGGTCTGCTGGTGGTACCCAGGGTCAAATCGAAACATGGAGAAGCAGCTTTTAGTCACTGAGCAGTACAAGCTACTGTCTGATGGTCTTTATGCTCCATCCAATGCAGTGTTAAAAACCACAGGTGCCTTGAACTAAACAATTTTATATGGTTATACCATCATCGTATTTCTTTTCTATTTTTCTTTTCTTATTTTATAGTCGTATTTTATTTGTATTATTTTTCTCTTCCAACTTTTATATAGAATTATCATTTATCATTATTCATTTTATCATTTATTTCTTGTAACTCTTTAACCCTTGTTTATTCAATCTGTATGACAGGTGCTTTATAAATAAAATAGCCTTTTGCCTTAAATACTGCATGTTTTATTTTAACCTTTATAAACAATTTGTCCTTATTTACTTGAAGAGTGTTCTATTAATGAAGTTATTACACTAATATATTTATGTTTATTCTTTTTTATTATCCATCCAACATACCTGGAACTTGTGGGTTAAAAACTGAGAAATGACAAATTAATGAAATGGATACGTAAGATTTCACATTTATTTGTCAGCTGTAATATTTCAAAACACGATTCATTGACCATTGTGTGTATGTACTGATGCCAAGCACTAGCAGCAAAAGACTAGATTTCTTCACCAGTATGTAAGAATATAAGAATTGGTATACTAGAAAACTGTATGAAATGGAATGGCCAGGGTATTCAGATATGTGCTCTTTAAAATGTGTTTAAAGCTGGCTCAGAAGCTCAGTGAGCATGTAAAAGGCCTAAACTGACCCGTTCTTTGAGTTAATGTTTTGGTATGTGTGATGAAGAAGGGACAGTGCGTCCCTGGTTGACAGTGTTAATCCTGGGATGGAACTTGATGATGGAAAAAGACATGTAGTGAGCCAAGTGAAGCAGTAAAAAGCATTTAGTGTATATGTAAAGTGTGAGAGTAAATGTGACCTGACCCTGACAGTAGGATATCCTCTTTCCTCTAGGCACATAGTGAGATAAAACATAAGTCGGCCAAGAAAAGAATCTTATACTAAGCTTACCACAAATTTCCTCTTGGTGCCACAAGATGTATGCAAAATAACGTATTTCTGTTGGTAGTGCTGTAATATCACATACCAACAAATTCTATGAATCAGTCATTGACTTTTTTGATAAGATGACACTAGTAAGTAAACTCAAATGCACAAAACAGCAATTTTTCTTGATGACCTGATTATTGCGATTGGACTTAGTAAATACTGTAGAGTCTCAAATCAGCGTCAGTCCAATCATTTTAAAATCAATGTCAGAGTGCTCAATCCTTGTTTGCCAGCAGATCATCCAGAATACGCTCACACATGTACAGGCAACGAGGAACATGGAAGAACCCTGAAAAAGAGATGAGAAACACAATTATCTTACAGACCTTCTCCGAGGCCCACAGCACAGGGAGGGGGGGCACCGAGTTTAACCAATCTAGACTTCAATATTTCGGCCCTAGTTGCTTGTTATTGTAGTAATAAACTCATTTATAAAATAAACAAGCCTATTTTGTTCCATAGTTAAGAGAACATCCAATGCATCCAGGCACTGCATAAGATTTATGATTACACCACACAATGTCCCAAATACTG